AAAAAAAAATTTATTGTTTGGAACACTATACCATCAAATAAGTCGGTATTAATTGATAAACGACTTTCAGGTATATACAATGTACCTAATTTATATACATATATATATGTACATTTTTCATATATATTTATGTATATAGGTATATGTACATTTTTGCTCATTCTAAAGTTAGCTTCAAATAGGTATAGGATAAATGAATTATAAAAATCTTTAGTATTTTATTTGCCGTTGCAATGTGTAATTCTGGGAAACAACTTCTATTTTAGCCTCCTAGCCTACCCATGTGCATACATAAGGTTATAATTTATAATATATTATCTACGTTCATACATATATACAAAAATGTGCCTTAATTTCCAAAATGCAGTAATATGATATTAATACGCAATTCAGCAATTAACATACTTATATGCTAAATTGCATATTAATGATTGGTTAAAGAAAAATTTTCACCAAAATATCAGAAATCATACTTGTTTTCAAAAACTTACTTATCTTTGTAAAAATCAACTTATTATAGTCTAGCAATGAATCATAACCTCAAAATATCAATAATACTTTGTTTCTGCACAATTTAGCAAATACAATTCATAAGCTGAATTGTGTATTAATAATATTTATTGACGCAGTTTTGAAATAATAATATTTGATGCTTTTAAATAAAAAGTATAAAAAAAATTGACTTTCAAATTGAATCAAGGCAATATTAATATTTATTTCAGCTTATCAATTGTAATTGCTGAATTATGAAACAATATAAAAATAACATTTGTTTCTTATATAATTGCTTAGTGCTAGTATAGCTGAGAAAGTAAATCCAAAAAGTTCTCTGTCTTTTTTTGTATTTTATCAAAATAGTTCTCTTTTAAATTAGGCAGCATACCTATATACAGAATTAAAACGTCAACTAGCAATACAATTGTAATTGCTGAATAAAGTAAAACAGAAATTCGCTGAATTGCTTATAATTTTTTAAGTTCAAAGGAAGAATTTACCTGATTATATAGTAAAAAAATTTAAGATATTAAATTTCTTAATTATTTTTTACAAGTTCATAAACATGCTGAGTACCTACATGAATACAAACATTCATATGCATGCATTCATTTATGGTTCCTTCCGTTTAAGCATTTCAATTTCCCACGAAAATATAGGTACATTTATTTCCTTAGAAAAATAATTTTTAAGTAATCACAAATCTCACCTATGCACCCATGTAAATGTGTACGTTTTTTTAAATATGTACACAAGTACAATTTGTCAAATAATTTTACAAAAAAAAAAAAAAAAAAAACAAATTAACAAAAATTAGATTTGAGTTCAATAATTTATTTAAATTTAAAAATAGTTATTCCTGTATACTTTAAGTTACATGACATTTTTTTATACTTTTTTATACATTAAATTTAGTGATTTCAAACATTTTTTTATGAATCTAAATAACTGAAACTTCTCGTTACTTCAAAAATACAACGATAAAGTATTGATATACAATTCAGCAATAACAATTCATAAGCTAAATTTTATTATAAATAATTAATTATTGTAATTTTGAAGTCAGTTTTTAAATATTTTTAATTTTATTAATTTTTTTATTGCAATTTGATTTTGAATTTAGCAATTAAAATTTCATTACCACATTTTATAAGTTTTATAATTTTTTTAACAATTGAAATTCTATTGCTGAATAACTCATGTTAAAGCCAGATTAATATTTAGATGTTTAAACCTGTTCCCGGATCTTATTTGTGCGTTATAAAAGGTAAATAAAAAAATGCAATAAAATCCTAAAATAACCAGGCATTTTAAATTTTAATAAAAAAAAAAAACAATAAGGATCAAAAATATCCTTAAAATTATTGTAATATTTTTTTCTCAAACTTCTTATACAATGCAATTTTTAAGATGAAGGATCAAGTACAATTATTGTATTGTATGTGCATACGTGCCGTGAATGGTCTTTTATCAACAAAATTCTCAGGAGACTATTTCTTTTTTTTTTGTTTCTTTTAAATTTCTTCAAGACCTCCTTTTATTCATAAAATATTGTGCCTATTTTTAATTTTTGTGGATTTTCCGCTCGTACAAAATCAATATAAATATACAAAAACAACCGTATTATATTGCTGTGTATAGGTGTGCAATTGACGAAATAATTTAAAGGAAATTAAAGGAAAGAACAAAAATGGTGAAAAAGGAACAAAATTTCAGGTCGTACAGGTAGTATAAGTCAAATATTTTATCATAATTTTATGGGAAAATATTGTAAAAAAAAAAATATGAAAAAATATTGAAGAAGGTGTGAGAATAAATTATTTTTTTTATATAAAAGGTAAAAATTTATATACATATACATACTTAACGTACATATATGTTATGTACCTTTAACGTAAATGTCACCCATACGTATAAATTTTTATATCGTATATTTCTTGCAAAAAAGTTATTAATAAAGGTAAAATTTACTTTTATTTTAACTAGTTTATTGTCCTAGTCATTAAATATTTAAGAATTTCAAAAAAAAAAACTCCTTAAAATTTTTATTTAAATGAACAGCAATTATGGTGTAGGGCACATATGTGATACACCTGTTATATCTTGGACATTTATGGATTTGTGTAGGTCTCATTATATTTCAAAATTGAAAATCATAAAATTTAAAAATGTTAAAGTAACAAAGAAATTAAATGTTATGGTTATATTAAATTTAAACTTTTCTTAAAAGGTCAAGGTCAAAGATAACAATTTATTTTTTTTTCATAACTTCATTTTATTAAAAATTTCAATTCTCTGGTTGAGTATTTGCAGTTAATTTGCATAGCTGTAATAAAATGGAATTTATAGTGTCTACTAACCCAACTTCTAATTTCAAAATTACACTAATACGGTATAAATTCAATGTCCAGCTTATAAGGTGTCGTATATGAAAAATTGTAGTTTCGAATTGTGTAATAAATACTGTGTTGTATTTTTCAAATATGAAGTCAGAGAATTTTAAATATACATACATTTTGAAAGAAATTTCAATATAAAGAACTAATTTTAAATCCGGGTGGTCAATCTTACAATAATTTCACACAAAAATATTTAAGACTTTTATTTTAAAGCAATCCATTAGACACCTTTATATTGCAACATAACAATATATATTTTACAAATATGTATCTACCTATCTATTTGTATATACTACCTATGTAAAAATATGTCAGTTTATTTTTTGGAATTTTTTGTTATCAGTGTGTAATGAACACCTACATAGTATTAAATAATAGCAAATATTATGAAATTATTTTACTCATTCTTGAAATCTATGTATTTCAAACTACACGTATATTTTTTTTTTGTATTTTATATTATTAAGTTACAATTTTAAATCATATTTTTTTGATATTTTATTTCTTTGTTAAGGTAGCCGCAAGTTGGAATTAGTTTTTAATGTTTTGATATCTTAAAAAAAAAAATGAAAGGAAGATCAAAAATTCACAAATCATTTTGCGACATTTTGCAGGAGTTCAAGAATTTAAGATTTTGATAAAGATGTTAAAATAAAAAAAAAAAAAAAAAAACAAGAAATTCCAAATTGAGAAAGGATCTGCATAATTACATATGTATGGTTGAAATTACCTTCAGAGTACATCGTGATGAAAATTAAATTTTTCGAATCCTTTTTTAGATATTTTACCGATTTGTAGATAATTTTGGTTTATCTTACTGATTTTTTGGAAGTCAACACAATCAATTTATAGTGTAACAGACGTTTGTCTCAGGATAAAAAATTTAATTTTTTTACATAAAAAATTCCTGATCACTTAAAATGATCACTGTCGGTACTTACTATGTTTTTTTTTGACATGCATCAGTAAATATGCACCTTGGAGTTTTCAAAGAATATTTTCTTTTTTATTGTATATTTCAACAAGGATCAACAATCAATTCAGCATTATTCAGATACGTGAGCAATACAAAAAATTATAAAAATCCTTAAATTATTATTTTATTTCAAATTTTTATTTTTGCCCTTTCTAATTTGCACAAAATAAAGAATTTTTAAATGTATGTATGTATAAAAACAAAAAAAACTTGTACGTGATATTTTTAAATAAAATTAAATTATAATTTCTAAGAAAAAAAATTCGGAACTTTGTCTGTGAATTCTTCTATTATAGAAGTAAATTAGGACCTACATGAAATTTATTATTAAAAAAGATTTATATAGAAAGGTTATAACTGGATATTTTATTAACATTGAATTTTATAGAATGATATTTAAAGAAAATAAGGGAAAAAGTTAAAAGCTTATTATTGATTTGTAAAATATCAAAAGTTAGAGTATTGCAATGAGAGAAGCACAAAAGATCTAAACTCATTCCCTGAAATTTCTACATATTAATATTTAATAAGAATATTAACTACATATTAATATTCAAATATTTTTATATACCACATATAATTGAAATTATAATTGCATATTAAAATAGTCAAGATTCATTTCTCATAATTCTATTTACTACATAATGTAAATTGTAAAAAACCTGACATCCGGATTGTAATAATACCGTATCGATACAAAAATCAGTAATTGGTATTTATAAGCTGAATTTTGTATTAATTTACATTTACGATTTCAAGGAAATTCAACATTTATTATTGCACTTCATGTATGGCTGGTATGTCCTATCAAATCAGAATTAGTTAAATATTATCCATTCGTAATAGGATTGGCTAATTTAACATCCATGACTGCGCTTCAACAACTACGAGTGTGTATCATTAAAGTAATAAAAAAATAATTTAAATAAAATAATTTGAATAATAAATAAATTTTATATAATAACTTAAACAATAATTTAAATTTATTATAAAAAATACTTAGTTTTATTACACAAACTTTTTAAATACAAAATTTAACTTATATTCAATCAAAAGTATATTATAAAAAAATAAATTTATCACTATCTGTATAAGAAAAAGTGATTTTTTTCAATATGTATACCAAAATATGTGTCCACTTATGAGGACACAATTATATCAATTGTCCAACATAAATACGTAAATTATTTCAATTATACAATATATGTATATAAATATTAAAATTATATTTAATTAAATTTGTTATTTAAATGCAGTTTAATACGTTTATCATTAGTTTGCAATAATATTTCATTATATTTTCGCTTTAATTTATTATCCTCAATTATTCCACATACATTTGTTAAGAAATGAGCTACTAAGGCACATTCAGGTGATTGTAATGGTGCAAACAATATACCATCTAATAAATATGTTCCATCAATATTATAGTTAGTGCAAATCATACGCATAAAGTAAGCTAAATCACTGGCCAGTTGTGCAATAGCAATACTATCATATTTTTTAACTTCTCTGTCAATTATATTACGGACAATTTTACCAAATTCAAAGAAATTTTTGTCAACTTCAAAATATATCAGAGTATATTCAAAAATCATATAATATGTATAGAAATATGTTTCCGGATCAATAATTTCTTTTAAGAATTGAACAAATGTTGTTATTACATATTTAACGAATTCTTTATGTTCTATATTAATTTTGAAAATTTTATAAAAGAAATGACTTATGAAATCGGTTAATAACCCTCTTAAATTATAAGATTCTTCTTTTGCATTATATGTATCCCAATTCTTAGCATGGGCCGATTTTAAAATATCAATAATCAATTTTAGGCGTTTTTCTATATCCGATTCGGAAATATTCTTCTTTGAAAGCATATATGATACAGCTATAGCTGTAAATTTACTCCAAGTACTTTTCTCCATATCAATATTAAATAAATATTCTTTCAAGAGATGTTCAAGGAATTCATCTTTCATATGTTGAATTCTATTATTTACATCAATTAACATATTAAAACGTTTTTCTTGAAGTTGCGGAAGTTCTTTTTCTACTTCTAAAATTTTTTTCCACATTAATTCAATATATTCAGATAAATAGCTTGTTGGAATTTCATTTAAATGCGTACATATTTCTATTATATCTTTATCTTTATGATTTAACTCTTTTAAACATTGTTCTATAGCGTTCCACCAAATTTCGTTATCGAATTCATTAACCAAATATTTAAGCATTCTCTCTAATAAAATTTTTCGTATTGTTGGATTTTTCTCTTCTGTCCAAGATTTTTTAAGCAACATTATGAGCAATGATTTTTCCAACATGGTATGTAACAACCGTAAGATATGCTTTTTGAATGACACAGGAACGTTTATAGAATTTTCAAGAAATTCTTTTGATCTGTAATACGGCATTTTTTGGCAAATACTATTTAAACTTCCTACTGTTAATTGAAGGAAATCTCCAGAACAAAAAGCTTTCAATGCCACTAATATTTCCGGATCTGATCTATAATTTTTTAGGCTAAAATGAAAAAAAAAGAAATAAATTATTTTTTTTTATTATAATAATAGATTTTAAAAAACATCGTCCTGCTGAAAAAGTATCACTTTCGTAATTTAAATACAAAAACTTACCAGTATGCAATCCTTTTTTGAAACATAAATTTGAATTGACATTCATCATTTCCCATTTGTGCAACTTTCTCTTTAGGATAATATGGTTTAGAAATTTCAAAAAATTCATTACTTGACAAATATGGCCATAAAATCCAAATGGCATATTCCTTCAATTGATCGGTTTTTTCATTTTTCAAAATTTCGTAACACCTTTTATGCAGTTCAATTTCTAGTGTTGGAATTTTTTTCAAACGAATTGAAGTTTTAATTTTTTGATCAAATGTTTTATTATATTCTTTAAGACTTGAAATGTATAAATCACAAAGTTGTGGAATATTGCTTTTAACATACTCAGGATCACATGGCATATACTCTATAAGATAATCCAAATAATTCAAATCTATGGACTTTCTCAGAACTTTACATTTATAATCAAAAATTAGTTGCGAGAAATGTTCCTTAATGATCGGGTCTCTTTCAAGAAATTTTATTACAGTTGTTAAATCATTTACAGTATTCATCTTACATAAATTTATCTTCTCATGAAAGAGTTCCATAGCCCATTTATATTCGGTTATTTTGATTGGGTTGTCTTTATTATGCCTATTATACTCAATATATGCTTGTAATAAATCATAATGAGCATCTTTATTTATATATAATGATATTAATTCCAAAGTCGCTTTATTGTGAAACTGTCTTATAGTGTAGAAACATTTGTTTCCAGTACACCATTTTTCATATAAGGTAAACCACTTTTCAAATAAATTTTTGTCATTAGTTGAATAGGTTAGTGCTTCTACAAAAATCTTTGCAGAAATGGTACATGAATAATTAGTTAATTCTGATTTTATATCAAAATTACAAACAATGTTATAAATTTCTTCCCACAGTTCTTGATTAAAATTGGAACGATTTTTTGGAAACAAGTACCCTACCTGATTTATGAATTCATTTCTAACACTCAATTGCTCATTTTTATGTTTAAAATTAAAATACTTCAAAACTTCTAATAAGGCTTTGAAGTCTTTATTTATTTCACACGTTCTTATAAGTTCCCGAAGATATTTACTGCGATCGGGTACTTGCATTGAAGTATGTATTAATTCCTTTAATTTTGGTATTGAAACTTCGACCTTCATGTAGGGAATCCAGTCTTCAGCTTTTAAATATTTATCATATTCGTCTAAATAATAATTAATATATGTACTGTTTAATGAAATTTTTAAATTTAATTTTATATTAATAAAATAAGGTAGGTACTTACAATTTTCAAATTTATCCACAGCTAACTTATGCCTCAATTCTGTATCATCTATCCATCCCATTAATTCGAAAGTGATATTTTGCCTATCGTCGAATAGTTCTAAACCAAAAACCCGTTTATAGCACCTTTTCAATAAATCTAGTCTTTGTTCATTTGTTTTAAGTAATTTAAATATAGATCCAACATAGTAATTTACATTTGGAATTGAAATGTGCCCTAAACGTGAATGATCCGGAAAAGCAGAACATAAATAACTTTCCAGTTGTTCTTTTGTCAGATATTTTAAAATATTGTAACGATTGTAACGCTGTGATGTTGCATCAGATATTACGAAATCGTTAAATTTCCTGATGAACATTTTTGTTAATTTTCTACTTGCGGTGAAGCTAGAAAAATTTTGCTCCGTTTTGTTAAATAGTTGAAAGGCTTCTTCTGGGTAAATATGCAATAATTTCTCAAATAATCTTGTATAAGAGTTTGAGTTGAAATTTTTCAATCCGCTTCCCACTTTATATTGAACTAGTTCTTTAAAGTAGTCCAATATTTCCTTTGATCTTTTTGAAAAAACAGCAAAAAGCTCATCTTCTGTTAAAAAAATATTAACATTTTTTGCGAAATCTAGCCAAATATCTAAACTGCAGTGTTTTAAAAATGGGCGAGCTGTTGGAACATTGTAATTTTTTGCCAACCCATCATAGTATTTCTTTGCAAGTTCTGGATCGGTAATTTTTCTTTCTATAACTTTGAGTATTCTGTTTCTTTGAGAGTATGAAACTTTTGGAAAAATATCCATCATTAAAGTGTCCAAAGAATTTGCTTGATTACTCCAGAAAAAATCACAACGTTTGATTATATCGTTAATAATATCATCATCTTCAAATAGTAATGATTGCGTTAGTAATTTCTCATTTTTCTCCTCAATTAAAAAATTCACATAAAGTCGTTTAACAAATGCTGCACGTTTTGTAATAGTCGCTGGGTTCATAAATTCATGCAGCTGATCTTTCGAATAACAATTATTCTTGAATTTATTTGTTATTTCATTGACCAATTTGTGCTTGATGCCATTTTTTGTTGATGGATCGTCACTTAACTGTTGGATATCTTGAAAAAGATCTGCTGCCATTGCGAAGTTGCCTGTAAATTAAAAATGTATGTAAAGGTACATATTATGTACACAGATATATATACGTATCTAATTGAATCCTAATTGAAGTTTCGTTATCTTGTGAAATTGATGATCTAATAAATTTCACATATAGCTACATAAAATACATACAGTCACATATATATATATATAATGTTGCGATTTTCGTGGAAAAAGTAGATAGCTACTTACCTACTCCAAAAAAATAAAAGCCTTATTTATCAATGTAATTCTCTCTTCCAAATATTAAAAAGCTGACAATATGCGTTTACCGTTCAAATAAAATAATTATATTCTAATTGAGCAAAGACTTTCAATCAGTTAAATTATTGTAATTAAATAAAATCTTTCAACACTCTTTTCAACTCAACATTCCGGAGATCCCGGTTTCATATCAAATTATTAATGAAATAATTAATTTACAATGAAAGAAGTAGTAATTTCAATTGTCAATAATTTTGTAAAACAAACTTCAAAAAAACTCTAGCGGAATTACTATGAACATTATTAGGTATGATTTGAATGGTAAATTTTTTTAACTGCAGATTACGTCAAAATCAAATGTTGCGAGATTTTTAAGATTAAGGAAAAGAAAAACAAGTGAATAATTATAATCATAATTATAACTTTAATTAACAAACATTTTATTTGGTGGATTACCCAGCATTTACACATACAAGTTACTTGCAAGCAAGTTTGTATAATATTAATTGTCAATTAGTTTTTCGAAATGTCGCATTACTTGCTATTATGACGTAGGCGTTTAGCAAGTTAATTTTTGAAAATGTCTTTGAGAAGAAAACAACTAGCAATATATATAATTGTTTATAAATTTTAGACCATAAGTTTAATTTTTTCAAAACAAAATTCAAAAATTTTAAATTAAAAAAAAAAAAAAAATCAAAACAACAAATTTTTTTTTGTGAATTTCTCAATATGTCAAATTACTTGCTCAAATTACTGGCAGCAAAATTTTCTTGCAATTTGAACTGCAAGTAAACAAGCAAGTAGAAATATTTCAATGGGTTAGTAAAATTTTTGTATGTATTGCAACTTTCTTGCAAGTAACTTGTACGTGTAAATGCTGGGTTACAATAACCTCATTTCTCGATCATTTGGCCAAAATTCTGGTGGCAAGCATAAGAACTAAAAAATATGGAAAATATTTTTCAGATGTGCATAAAACCCTTATCTAATATAATTAAGAAAAACTATAAAGAACTCACTTAGCAAACGCTAATGGAAGAAAATGATCTATTTCAAAGTCCTACGTTATGTAAATAAAAATTAAAGTTAACAGCAATGCAAGGTATGTAAAAATAAAAATTAGAGTTTTAAAATATTTGAAATATGCATGTTGTTATCGAATCAAAGCCATATTATATAAATTTAAAGGTTTATTAATTTAATAACTTTAATGTTATTTTAACTGGGACCAAATTGCTCAATAAAATATATACATAATTCACATTTTTCAAACGTGCAGAAAATTTTATTTGAATTCAATTTTACATTTCAGTTAGTGATTTATTTTTGTAGTTAATATGTACATACCTACGTTCTCCTTCCAACAATATTAGGTTCCATCACTTTTTACAGAATATAAGAGTGTGTACAATTTTCAAAAATATATTTATAAATTCAATATAAGAAATACAGTGCCGATAGTAATATAAATAGAAAGTATTTAATTTAAGTACAAAGTACAAAAGATTACATTTTCCAAAAGTATATAAAACCAAACATACATTTCAGTTTTCAACTAATTGTTGTTTAAATACAATCTAATTCTCTTATCTTCTGTTTTCAATAAGGTTTCATTATATTTTCGTTTTTTATAATTATCCCCAACTGTATTTTGAACATTTGTTAGAAAATGTACAACCAAAGCACATCCAGATGATTGCAATGGTTCGTGTAATAGACCATCTATAATATCTGTTATATTCTTTTCATCTTCATCGCTATCAAGAAGTTCATAAAAATGTTGAAACTCTTTTGCTAATTGAACTGCTACAATATCTTCGTACTTCTGTATTTCTCTATCAATTATATTACGAATTTGCTTTCCAAATTCTAATAAATTTTTATCCACATTAAAATAAATTAAAATCAATTCAAAATTCATATAGTATGAATAAAAATAAATAGTTGGATCGAAAATTTCTTTTAACGATTTTACAAAATTTGGAATCAAGTAATTAACGAAATCTTTGTCTTCTATGTTAAGTCTCAAAACCTTCAAAATTATTTCATTTATAAAATAAAACAACATTTCTCTTACAAAATAAACATTTCTGTCTTCATCATATGAATTCCAATGTTTAAATGCAACTTTAATCTTTTTAAAAACAAACGCAATTCTTTCTTCTACTTCAGACTTAGATGTTTTGTTCGAAAACAAATAGCTGGCCGCGATTGTTGAGTAATCTCCACAAACAGATTGATGTAATTTTATATTCAAAAAGTTTTCTCTTAATAATTCTTCAATGAAATTATTCGACATATAGTTAATTTTCAAATTTATATTACTCAACATTTTAAATCTTGTTTTTTGAAGATCGGGTAGTTCATTTTCAATTTTCATAATTTTTTTATATATTAGTTCAACATATTGTGATAAATAATCAGTTGGAATATCGGTGGTGTTAGCGAAAATTTCAATCATATCTTTATCTTTGCTACTTAATTGGTTTATGCAATTTTCCAACATATTCCACCAAGTCAGTTTGTCGAAATCATTTATAAAATATTTAAATATTATTTGCAACAAAATTTTTCGTGTTGTTGGATTTTTTTCTTTGGCCCAGTTTTCATTCGTTAGAATAACTGATGACTTTTTGTTAAGGATCGTATATAAAAGTCTAAAAACGTGTTTTCTGAACGAAACAGGTGCATTGATACATTTTTCAAGAAACTCTTTTGATTTATAATAAGGGATTTTTTTACAAATACTGTTAAGACTCCCAACTGTCCATTGTAAATAATCTCCGTAACAAAAAGCTTTTAATGCATTCAGAGTTTCCGGATCGGATTTGAATTTTTTTAAACTATAAGTTTAAGTTCTAATTTAGTATTTATTATATAAATATATAAAAATTACCTGTAAGCTATACGTTTTTGATACATGAACTTGTACTGGCATTCATCACTTTCAGTATTAGGTGCTTTTTCCTTAGGATAATATGGTTTCACTATTTCAAAAAACTCAGCATTAGTTAAATGTGAAGACAATATCCATATAGCATACTCCTTCAATTCGTCAGTTTCTTTGTTTTTCAAAATCTGATACAATTTCTTGTGAATTGCCATTTCCAATTCAGGTAGCTTTTTTATGTATTTATAATAGCACATCTTTCCACAAAATGTGTAGTTCTTTTGCTTTAGAAATGTAATAAATATTTCACATATTTTTGGAATTATAATTGGAAAATAATCACGATCACACTCTGCATATTGCACAAAATTCTCTAAATTTCCAATATCATTGATGCCTCTAACATACTCCTTTTTTAGAGATGTAATTTCTTCATTAAAATATTTTGCTATATTGCGATCTTTCTCCAGAAGATTTATTAGTTCAGCCAAGTTATAAAGATTATTTTCTTCTTTTTCATTAATTTTTCTTTTGTAACATTGCAAAGCAAATTCAAATTCAGCAATATTCAAAGTATCCTTTGAATGATCTTTATTGTAAGTATGGTAGCATTCTAATAAATATTCGCCACTCTTTTCATCTACACATTCTGATGCCATTTCTAGTACCGTTTTACTTTTAGTTTTTAAAATTTCATTGAACGCCCATTGATAATGTGCTTGTTGACAAAATAGTCGAAACCAGCTTTTGAATAAAGTTTTATCTTTAGTTGAATATTTCAATGCCTCCGTAAAAATACTGTTTGGAATATTAACCGAGTATCCATTAAGTTCGGATTTCAGATCGAAATTATATACCATATTATAAATTTCTTGCCACTGTTCTGAATTATATGTGATTAAGTTTTTTTCCAAACAAAATCCCAAAATTGAAATTAAGTTGCTCCTCACAGAAATTTGTTCATTTTTGAATTTTGTATTTACATACTTTAAAGTTTCAACCAAAGCCTTTGAATCTTTGTTTATTACACATGTGAATATCAAATTTTTAAGAAACTCTTTACGATCTGTAGCATTGGTTGAAGTCTGAATTAAGTCTTTCAATTTCGGAATTGATACATCCGTTTTCATGTACGGAATCCATTCTGAGGGTTTTTTGTTCTCTGGGTCTGAATCGTTTTGTCCGTCATCGCTGCTTACGGCTGAAATATTATGAAAAAATTTTATTTACATCAAATTAAAAAAAAAGAACGAAAGTATTTTTTGAATAGGTACCTACTTATGTATTTAGGTATGTGTTCTTAAATTATCTTATTATAAAATTCAAAACTTAAATTATTTTTTATAAACTTTTTTCAAATACACAAAATAACTTGATTATGTATTATAAATTAATATTTTAAAAATACAAAAAATTTTCTTAGCTATAAAGCTTAAATATATCTTAATTAGATTGATTGATATAACTAGGTCGACAAGAACTTACCTTTTTCAAATTTTTCCATGGCATACATATGTCTTAAATCATTATCTTCGATCCATTTTAGTAATTCAAAGTTAATATTTTTTTTGTTGGCTAGCAGTTCCTTACCATAAACCCTTTTATAACATTTTTGAACAATATCAAGTTTTTCTTTTTTACTTTTAATTTTATTAATATAACAATCTACTCGATAATTTATTACTGGAATAATTACGAAATTTGGATTGTTTTTAGGAAAAAGTTCACTTAAATATATTTCTAGTTGCTCTTTTGTGAGATATTTCATTATAACAAACTGATTATATCTATTTGATTCTGCATCGGATAGTACAAAATCAGAAAACATTTTAATCAACTTTTTTGTTAACTTTCTGCTGGCTTTAAATGAATCTAAAATACCTTTCTTTTTATCAATCAATTTAAAAGCATCTTGTGGATATAAATCAAACAATTTCAAAAAAATATTTAAATAATTATTTAAAGAACAATTAGGTGGAATTTTATCTCTTTTATGAAGTTCTACCAAAGTTACAATGTAATGTAAAACATCTTTTGGACGATTTTTGATAATATCTAAAAGATCTTTCTCATTTAAGAATACATTCTTATTAAGTGTTTCAATCCATACATCTAATGCGCAGAATTTTAAAAAAGGACGGGCTGACTCAATACCATAAATGGTATTCAGTTGATCAAAACAATTTTTTGAATATTCAGGATGTTTCATGTTTCTTTGTATAGCTTTAAGAATTTCTTTTCTTTGAGAATATGAAATTTGTGGAAAAATTTTTTCGTATAAAAATTCTATAGAATAATGTGGATTTTCCCAAAAAAAATCACAACGTTTAATAATTGTATCAATAATTTCTTCATCTTCCGATAACAAGGATTGGATGAGAATATCATCATTCTTTGTTTCATTTAAAAGGTTAATATAAAGTCGTTTAACGAACTTTTCAGATTTTACAATTTTTCTAGGATTTAAGAATTCACTAACTTCTGCTTTACTATATTTATTAGCCTTAAATTGTTTTGTTATTGTGTTAACCAATTGATGTTTCTCTCCATCTTTTAATTGCTTATTATCTAACTGGTTCAGATCCAAAACTAAATTTGGTGCCATTTTCAGAATTAATTCAATCTACAAAAAATATATACATTAGTTATACATACGATTACTTAATATACATAATTTAAAGAGTGAAAATCATGCACATGTTCATTTCATTAATTTTTCATTTAATTTGTTCTATCTATTGGTTGTCTATGAATCATTTACTTGAAAAATATGATGTCATCTTAAAAAATACTTCCAAATACAAAAAAAAAAATTATAAACAAATACAACAGTGATATTTATTTGTGCTATTAAAATACTTGAGTGTTTTATGAGATATATGTAATTTATCTAATTACCTTATATTTAAAATAAAATTAATAAACGAGAAAACACAAAAAATCTAACATAACTTCTTAGTTGCACTTAATTCAAATTTAAAATACTAAAAAACTTCTTAGGTGACGTTTAGCACTTTTACACCCCCTAATTTCAAACATTCTCATATTATAAATAGAAAAGCCGGTTCAGTTCAAATTTATTTATGACAACTCGTCGGCTGAGAAATAAAACAGTGTATAAAAAAAGGTATAGTTTTGAGTAAATCGCGTTTGAAGTTTTTTGCCAAATAAAAATGAAGTTTCGAATCTAAAATCTTCCGGTTGTCATCTTTGACTATCCTGAAAAGTTATGTTAAACATTTTTGGGGGAATAAATAGTTTATTTGCATAAATTTGATTAAATAAATTTTTGTAGATCTTAGAAAATTAGAGGTTTGAAATTTCTTGGTACTTCTTACACTATTTTATTTTTGGTAGAAATTGTATGAAGAAAGTTATACACTGTTTCATTTTAATTTTTTTGTATGGTATACACCATTTCATTTTTATTTATACGTTATTTTATTTTGTAAAAAATTAATATAATTTGAGAAACCAAATTAACATTACATACTTTAACTCAACGTATGAAAATATAAACAGGTATTTTTATCGATATTAATGTAACATGAAAAGTCGTAAACAAAAATAAATAATATTAACATAAAAGATAATTCAAATGTACATTATTTCTACTTGAAATTTTGAAACTTAGTTCTAAAATTTAATTATAGCTCTTCAATCTCGTCTTCTGAATAGCTTGGTTCGTTTAATTTAGATAAATTATTTTTAGATGAGGCTTTTTCTGCCAAGTTTTGATAAAATGCTACTGAATGTTTCTAACTAAGATTGATTGATCATGCTTTCATATTGCGCACATGAAACGAGTTATTAAATTTTGTATTAAAGATTCTTTTATAAGTATGCTAGCCAACTTTTATGTGTATTTTATAATGCTTAAGTTAAGCTTTCTTGCAAACGGTTTTACCATACAATGTATAACAAGGCGTAAAATTTTTTCGAGACATTCGCGGTCGTTTTCTTGTATATACTTTGTGTGTGAGAGTATGTTTTAGAAATAATCTTTTCTTTCCATAATCACCCAGCTTTCAATACGAATTATTACTATTAATTCTTGCATCTTAAGGAAATTTTTCAACGCAATTGTGTTGGCAGTTGCAAATTCCGTTGTAACGTTCTTTTGCTTTGAATTCTTTCTTTTTTAATTTTTTTTATTGCTTTTTTACATTTTCACTTAGATTAGTACTTTATAAAATTTTTTCGAGTAGTGTTTCCGCTGATGTAGATGTAATGGTTTCATTATCAAACGTTTAGTCTATAAAACATTCTGTAAGTTTTTCTGGTTCCGCTTCACCCGTTTCAGATGCTGAACTCTTGCTAGGCTCATAATTGTCATCAGAGCCAGAAGAAAAGTGTGTAATAGAATTTTCTGGTGACTTCTCGAAAAACGTTACCACTTCTTCATCATTAAAATTTTTATTCCTTTTCTTTTTACGTAACACAACAAAATTATTTTAATTGTTGTGGGTATAAAATTTTGCCTTAAATTATTAATTATTTGCTTCACTTATTAAAAAAGTTATAACTTTAAGTTCTGTACTGATCAACAAAATCCAACAGAATACTTATTTGTTAAAAATATTTGTCTTATACATGAAGATGCATATAGAATTAAACAAAATTAAACAAGTATAATGTACATATGTACGTTTGTTTTGTACGCTGTTTTATTGCATTGTTTGCCAGGGAAGACGATTCAAAATTCAAAATTAAAGTAGTGTATAAGACAATATGAAACAGTGTATCAAATTCTTACACCGTTTTACTTTTCAGTTTATTGCAAAAATTTTTTTTATTAAAATTTAAAAAGCGTGTAAAAGTAACATACACTTTTTTATTTGGTATTGAAATTAACAACTGAATGATAAATTTTCTACCAAAATAGTGTAAGAATTCATTACGTTATTTTAAATTTTGTAAAAAGTTACGGTTTGGCAATAAAACAAAGTAAACGCATTTTACGCTATTTTGTTATTAATTAGTTTCTAAAAATGCTTTATACAATATTTTCGTTTTTATTTAAAAAGTATGTTAAAATGAAAAGCTAGAGAAATATAAAGTAACTCAACTTATAGAATCGACTATGGAGAATCCAATGGTGATAAAATCGGATAACGACGTATAAATGTTATACGCTGTTTTCTTTCTCAGCCGACGAACTATGCCATATGATAAGATAGGAACATTGTCGTGTTATTTTTTGGATGGGTAGCCGAAATATTCAAAAAAGGAAACCCTTTTTCTATTGACATTGAAAATCAATAATTGCGAGTTATCTAGTTGAAATATTAACCTCACGATATTTAATTTTTTAAATCTTTCAGAATCAGAACATTTTTTTTGAATCAGACAAATTTGAAATGTGGTTTTTCTTTGGAAAGCTGTTTTGAATATAGTGTTATTTAATTAAAAGTTTAAATTCCCCAAAATTTGCTTTTACATTATAAAAGGTACTTGCAACGAAAAAATAGCTTAAGGTATTGAAATACATCATAAAAAATTTTTTGACAATTTTTCTGATCATATTGTTTATCGCCTTATTTAACTGACATTGGTTAAGTTAACACCTAAAAAATAGGTGGCTGCTTTTAAATTAGCATAAAAAGGTACAACATCGTCGCCCAAGAATTATAGTGCCGTAAATCCAAAAAATTGAATTTTGGGAAATCGAAATTGAATCAAAACTGAGGCGAAAACCCCATTATATTTACTCTAGATTCGTAAACGACTTTTTTAGATAACTTTTGATACCAAATTTATTAAGAATAAATATGAATACTTTTTCTATACTCAGAAAAAATCCAAATCTGAACTGAAATGCAAGAGGGGGAGCCGGGGATATAAATTTATAAAGTGGAGCCAAACGACATCCCTGGATATAATTGATATTATTATATTACGTAATATACTATGTATATACGTACCTATAACAGCTAGCCTACACTAAAAATTTATAAATTCAAAATATCCATATAAATTTAGTGTTGCCAAAATATAATAATAACGCATAATGTTATCTACCGCAGAAATATCTCACACATAAAGTAGGTCAAATCGTTATGAATCGTATTTCAAGTTTTTCTAATTAAAACTTGCTGCAATAGAAAGAGACAACAAATAAAGACAAAACTATACATTTATGGTGTTACATATCAAACTAAATCTAAGATCTATTGAGAATTTATTTACACATCAAATTCATTTTTCGTAAATTGTACCTTTATGTAAATCTTTTGACAGCAAATCTTTCAAATATTTACAATGCAAGATAAATCTTAAGCTAAAAATTTAAAACAAAACATTTGTGTATCTACACATAACTTGTAAATAGCGTAAACAGTTTAATAAAAAACAAATTTTGTTACAATCAATTATTCTAAATCTGTCAAAAGTAAATTTGTGTAGTATTTTTCGCTTAGTGTTGCTGCCAAAGAAACAGTAGTGATGTTAAATTGAAAACAGAACTAGAGCGATTTGTCGCGGCGAAATGTGAAAATCCATATAGAATGCGCATATGGTATTGCCCAAAATAAAGTGTTATTAACGCCGCGAATTTAGAAGACTGCGGTAAAATAGCCTAAAACCCTATTTTAACGTTGACGTCTGTAGTTTTTTTGACATTATCTGTTTCAACGTATATGCGACCTATGTGCAAATTACTAATGTCATTTTTCTAATGTTATAACTGTTTTTTAAAGATAGCATTTCCCACAAAAATACTGTGCATCCCATAAAATAAAATAGGTTGAATGATGCTTTTGTTTAAAATGCCAATTATCGTTTAATTAAAATCGAATGGCATTTTTGTGTTGAGTGACTGTCAATCGTTTGATTGAAGTACTTCGTTTAATTTTCAAACAGTTGGATAATATAGTTCTCTTTGCATATTTCTTCAATTATTTGTAGAAGTGTATATAAATATTCCTCAATATATGGTAGTTGTAATTGAAAAATAGATTTTCTTACCAAAATAGGTATATAGGCATTTATTTCATAAAGAAATTATGACATTTAATATTTAAAAAACAAAAATTGTAATATTATTTTAAATTTGAATTGTTTTTGATTAGTTATTCAAAATTAATTTTTTTTTAAATAAAAGTCAAAATATTGTTACATAAACACAAAAGCAAATTGAAGGACTTGTTTTGTATTTCCTTTCAACTGAATTCTAAGTGTAAATGTGGTATTTAATTAAACACAAATCAAAACGGCATCACTTGAGTTTCAAAAATTTCACGTTGCAGATGTCATGTCACTTTGCAATTATTATCTTTTAACTTTTCATAAATTTTGCGGTTCTTTCAGAGCGTAAGAGATCAGTTACATTTGGTAGAACAATTGCAATATTTAGAAACTAATACTTCTTAAGTTTTTCTATCACTAAAAAATACTTTGAAACACAAATGCCTAAATCTAAGAAAGCTTCACCGTTTATGACTTTTGCTAAAGAAAGGTATCCGAATTTGCCCATAAATGTAGCAGTTAGTAAAGCTGGTAAGGAATGGGAGGTAAGTACATAATATCTACATAAATATAACGTATATAGTATCATAAAACTTTGTAATTTTTGTAAATATTTTTAAACGAAAGAGTATGTCAAAAGAAAAAAGGGAAAAATATGTGGAAAAATGTAAAAATACACTATTTATGGTACCAAAAAGAGAATTACTTACTAGTCAAGGTGTACCAATATCCTTTGTTGAAAAAGAGAAACAAGAATTAATAAAGAAGGAATACTCTATGAAAACTGAAATAGAAGATATTGTAATATCTGGTCGGGATACAGGAAGTATATATGTGTAACTAATTATACGTAATCTTACTCATTATTTTTATGCATTCAGATTTAGCGGATATTACTTTCAATTTCATTAGTGTTAACTACTTTAGTCAAACTGCTGATGGATCAATTTACACTCCCGCAGAAATAGGGATTTCAGCATATTCATTAAGAGATGGGGTAAAAAATCGATATCATTCTTTGGTAAATCCACGTAAGTTTTTTTGAAGTTTGTTTAACTTATTCTTATAAGATCGTAATTTATAAAATACAACAAAGAAAATTTACAACTAGAATGGCCCTATTTTCTAGTAACTGTTCCATATGGACATGCTTTCGAAACTAAAACTCACTCTGAACGTACACATCAATTGGGGGTACCACCTGATGTTCAAGGTGAAACAAATTTAAAGAAATTATATTTAAATTGTCTGGAATTTATCAGGGAAAATAATGAATGCGGTTCTGAATATCCACCATTGTTTACACATCAAGACGAAAAAATAGTTAAGTCAGTTTTAGAAGTTTTGAGGTCAGATTGTTATGATGAAGAACCAGTTTTACGTGTATATCCTTTGCGCGAGCTCTTTTTTATATTAAAGAGAACAACTTCAGAGATAGGTGAAACAAAACCACCTGAATCAAAACATATAACTAATGCATATTTGGATAAAGATGTATACGAATATCAAGTTAACATCGCCTGCGATGTAAATAAGACTAATATCATTTCTGGACAAATGTCAACATTTATTGTGTTATTATCTTTTTTAGTTTCATGAAAAGAAGGACTGCGCAAAATATTGTGCTTTATCTTGTGTAACCAGATGGGCGTACACATTATCTGATCATTTATGTAAAGATCTCGCTTTAGATATGGAACCGGGTCATCATATTCCTAAAGACGCTGATTGTATGAGTTATACATTTTCTGAAAGCAATTTTGATAGTTCAGTTGTGACGCAACCAAAAATTGAGAGAGAGCACTTTAATATTAGTAAATCTACAAGTTTAAGCACAATAGAACATTTTCCTTCATTAAAAGACTCGAAAAAGAAAAGTGGAAGAACAAACAACATGGATAATACCATGACTACAAATTCATTATGTGATCATTTTGATAACGAAAGTTCCTCAAATCCTTGGATGAGGCGAAAAATATCCCGCCGGCCAGCTGAAGAATCATTTTCGATCGATATAGGAGAGTGTGACGAGTTTCCACGAATCCCAAGTTCAAGCGGTAGAGGACTATTATTCAGTAGGGTTGTAGAAGAAGCAAAAACATCCCGAGGAAGGGGTTTGGCATTTGGCGATTAAAATGATAAAGAAATGATTAATTAAAACATTGAAGTGAGCTTAAATAACTTTAAGTTGTATATTTTAAAAGTTTTAACAATACTAAATGAAATAATTCTTAAAATATATTTGACGAGATATTTATTGTCAAAAGTGTTTATTTCAAGTTGCCCTTTGTTATGAATAAAGTTTTTTTTTGCATCAAAAAATAATCAAAATTTGAAAAATAAAAAAATAATTTTTGAATTTTGTTGTCTTTTATTTTTGAAAAAATTCTAAGAAAATGTACAAGTATGTTGCGTCTTCACTTTTTTGTTTATTTTTACACTCGTACGAACGTATGTACGAAGGGTATACTAACCCCTCTATTATGAACATCGGTATCGGCCGATATATTATCGGCAGTTCTAATCGGTTTTAAGTTTCTTCTGTATTATGAACCGATACCGATAAAAATATTTCAACCGATTAAAAGAAGCTTTTTCATACAAATTTTTGTTTTTGTAAATTGGAGAAAAAGTTTTTTTTTTTTCTAATGACATTTGTTTTCTTTCAAAAGTTATTTTCAAAAAATTTTTAAAACTATTTTGAATTTGGTTTTGATGTGCTAAAAAGTTGTTGTAAGCAAATTATTTTCTGTTAAATTTGTAAAATAAAAATATACATATATCGGGAAAATGTCGCGTGCATTATATTTTGAAAGTGAAGAAACGGTAGTAAGTGAAGAAACGCAAGCTATTCAAAGACGACATATAAGAGATTCAACTAATCCATTGGATTTAGACAACAAAATGTATGTTTATGTACCTATTTTATTTTATTATTTACATATATAATATGTACACATTTTTTAGGTTTATCCAGAATTTCAGATTATCATTCCTTGCCAGGTTTAAGTCCTCTTCCATTTTTTCTACTAACCGCGCAATTTGTTTTTTGTTGCTTACGATTTTACTCCTAAATAAAATATATGAATAACATTTTGAAAGAAAATAATTTAGAAAAAATGCTTACATTTTAAAAAAAGCAATCAATTACACCAGTTTCCTTGATAAAATGAAGATTTTACAAAAAAAAAAAATCTGTCGTTTAAAAATTTGTACCCGCTTTTAAATCGGGGAAAACCCGACAATTTATCGTTTTCATAATACCAGCTAATACGTTTTCTATACAGTGAAAAAAAGCTTTCCCGACTCCGATAAAATTTACCGATAAACAATGTTGGTAATACAAACACAAAATTTTGCCGATAAATTATCGTTTATCGGCCGATACCGATATACATAATAGAGGGGTAAATTGCCTTACCGTTTGTAACGCTAAGAAATAATGGTCTCATATATAGACTCCATGCTGCTTTTGGTCAGCGTCAAATTCAGAGTTGATTTAGCTTTGTCTGTCCGACCGTCCGTGCCAACGATAACTTAAAAACTAATTGAACTAAGTTCGCCAAATTTTCACAAATGATTTATTATAGTAAATGCCAGAACCCTTTTAAGTTGGATATGATCGGGTAGCTGCCATACAACTTCAAAATTTATTTGGTTATACTTCAAAAACTATAAAATCTGTGGTATTGAAATTTCACACGAACGGGTATATTAGTAGAGCCAATGTGTTTGATAAAAGTTGTTGAAATTGCTTGGCACTTTCTGATAGCAGCCATACAACTTTAGTATTATTTTGTCTATTACTATGTATTAGAAAATATTGGAAACACAGTAATAAAACTTTGCATAAATTAAATTTGTAATGCGACAGGCTAAGATCGTAGTCTGTTTCATAATTAACTATGGCAGATTAATTGGCACATAGAATTGCAAATTATTAGAGTTGATACGGTCAACTCCATTTTTCTCATTCCGTTATATACATACATATATATACATTTGGTTTCACGCCTTTGCGCAAACACATGGGTTTAGCAAAACAGCAAAAATTGAATGTTTTCATAATAAACAAACAAGGAGTTGGAAATGTGGAAAAAGATGTTGATTTGATAAAAAAACTTCAGATCGTGTTGAAATACAAATCAGTATTGCATTTTTGCTATTGAACCAAAAACTAAAAATAAAGGTAAATTTTAACGAATAATGGGCCCCTGAGTAATCTTTTGAAAGTATATTTAAAAATTTGTACGCTTGTCACTCAGAAAACAAAACTAAGTTAAGTGAGTTAAAATTTGATTCTGTAGCGTACCCTATTAATTATGACCATATTATTTTAAATTTTCGTACATTGTATTGTAATGTACAGATCTATAAAATAAAAAACCTTTTATGATAAATCTACATTTTATGTTAACCATTCGATATTTAGCTTGGTCGACACACTAAAAATATGTTAATTAACATAGCAATTTACCACCTTTATTTTATTAACTAAAGTCACGAGACAAAAAATAATTTGGTCAAATTTTAAAAAGGCAAATGTCAAAATAACTCAATTTTTGATAACGTCTAAGTAAAAGTAAAAATTAATCCGACTTGTCAAAAATTAAATAATTCTTAGTATAAAAAATACGTTCATGGCATAAAGCTTATTATTTTTTAAACCAGTTAAAGTTGAATATGCATTGATTCCGTCTTATTAAGCTAGGTTGTAGTTGTCTGACTTACAGTTAGCCAGCACGAAAGGTTATTTATTGCACAGTGTTTGTCCGTCAATTTGTGTCGGTGTTATCGTGTACCATTTAGCAAGGATACTCTTAGATCTAGACTTTTAAGCAATTTATATTTGTTGTAGTATTGCTATTTTCTGTATTCGTTTTTTATTTTTAGTTGTATGCTTTTTTAATATTATTCTTACATTTTCAGTCTCTGGTGGTGGATTTTCCGTTTCCGTTTTCATATGTTGATAGTTTTGAGTTGAAAACAGAATAAGAACGATTTCCGCGTCGAAATATCAGAATTCATATAGAATATGAGTCTGGCCAGAATCAAGCGAAATTACAGGTTTCTTCGACATCATTACAGGTTTCATTCGACATTAAATTGAAAGAACTGTACAGTTAGTCTCACCGTTCTGGTTTTGTTCCGGGTTAACAACGGAAATCTTCCGCCGTTGCCGCTCACCGTTTTGGTTCTGTTTCCACAGTTATATCACCTTCATTTCACTCTTTTTGTTTCAGTACACCCGTAATTGTGTGCTCGTCATTTAATTTTAATTCCCCTATTACTCTTGCCTCTATTTAACCTCTTTTGATCTTCCCCCTCTCCTATAAATAGAGATTGTTGTTACTTTTAAAACATAGTTTCTTACTGTCGGCTATTGATTATATAACGCTAATTAAACCTTTTTGCTGCAGTATCTAAGCAATATTTATCAGATATAAAAAGTCCCACCTACAAATATTTATTTAGTTTAAAATATCTTACCTACATATTCGGAATTTTAGTTAAAATGTCTACGAAATTGTCCAGATAAGCACAAAACTTAATTAAGGGAATGTTAAATTGAATAAATAAAAAAAAACATTTTGCAATATTTTGCAGTTTTCTTAATATATAAAAACACATTTTGCTCCGTTTTTTAACACATAAAGAGTGGTAACCCTAAATTAATTAATATATTGTATTTCAATCAATTCTATATTTTTGTTTTTATAGTTTGTTTTTCCCGCCATTTTCAAAGTAATTTGTTAATTTTTGTGATCGAAAAAGATTTCTTTTAATTTTTTGTCTGAAAAAGCATAAAATGAAGTGTATTATACCAGAAATTTCATGGCATAATCGTGATCCTGTTCTTAGCGTTGATATTCAACCAAAATCTGAATTATTTAGTGGTGATAATAAATTACGTTTGGCATCTGGTGGCACTGATTCTCACGTTCTAATATGGTATATGTCGTGGAATGAGCATGGATCAATTGATTTGGAATTAGCTGCTGATTTGTCACGGCATCAAAGAGCAGTTAATGCAGTTAAATGGTCTCCAAATGGGAAATTTCTAGCTTCTGGTGATGATGAAAGTGTTGTTTTTATATGGAAATTAAAAGAAAAAAACGAAACTGTAAATATCTTAGATGACACTAATACTCAAGATAAAGAAATTTGGATTAATTTAAAAATTTTACGTGGACATTTAGAGGATATATACGATTTATCATGGAGCCCAGATTCACAATATCTGGTTAGTGGATCTGTAGATAATACCGCATTGATTTGGGATATCCAAAAAGGTCGTTCAATTGCAATGCTAAGAGATCATAAAAGCTTCGTACAAGGAGTTGCGTGGGATCCTAAAAATGAGTTTATTGCAACATTAAGCACAGACAGAAATATGAGAATTTTTGATATAAAAACAAAAAAATGTGTAAGTAGAGTTAACAAGTGTATTTTACCTGTCCCAGAATGCAGTGAATTATTTGATAAGTCAGTCAGAATATTTCATGATGATACCCTGCAAACATTTTTTCGAAGGTTATGTTTTAGCCCAGACGGAAATTTGATTATTACACCGTCAGGAATAACTGATTGTGATGGTGTAAATAAACGTATCAATGCAACATATATTTTTACAAGATATTCTCTAAAACAACCTGCGGTTATACTACCATCTCCAGATGAATACACGGTAGCTGTTAAATGTTGTCCGCAATTCTTTAAACTTCATGAAAATGGGCCTGAACCAGTTATTGATTTGCCATATAGAATAATTTTTGCGGTTGCAACAAAAAGTTCAGTTTATTTATATGACACCCAACAAAAAATACCTTTTGGCGTGGTTTCGAATATTCATTATACAAGATTAAGTGATCTGACTTGGTCATCTGATGGTAGGATTTTGATCATTTCAAGTACGGATGGTTTTTGTTCCATTATAACTTTTGAAGAAAACGAATTAGGTTGTGTTTTCAATACTGAGTCTCTAGATAAGACCACTCCTAGAAAAAATAATGGTATTAAAGAAAACAAAAAATCACCGAAAACCGAATCAAATCAAAGTCAAGTAGAACCTAAGCAAAGTGAGATAGGCATACAAAAGCTCGATTTTAAAAAGATTAATGCAATTACTCCAAATAAAGGAATTAATTTGACCGATAAAACTATAGAAGAAAGCTCTGCAAATAAAATTACAAATTTTTCGAAATTACAAAATTTCATCATTGATAAAGAAGTTTTAAGTGTTGATGAAAAATTTCACTCACCTTGCAGTAAAAAATCTCGGCAACCAACTCCTATTGCAGTAAGAAGAACTCCAAGAGTGCTAACTGAAAACAATATGGGTCAAAGTCCTTCAACTACTCAAAAAATAGATAACGACAATAAAAAATCCCGCAGGCAACTGACTGATACAACAACTATTACAGAAGAAGCCAGAGAAGCTTGGCCAGTACCAATAGAAGCTATGGAAGTTGATGATGATAAAATACAAAATCATGAAAAAAATAGTAAATTGGATCCCTCGGCCGTCATCGAAATTTCCGAAGACATTCAATTAGTTATGGAAGATACTCAAAACTAACTTAACAATAAGATAAAAATTTAAAATTAGTTTTTGATTAATTACCTATGTACATATGGACTAGAAAGTAGTTTTAAAGGAAACTAATCAATTTATTAGAATAAGACAATAAAACAAAAATATTAAAACAGTTCATTTACATACTATATTATATCAAACACATAATACATATTTTGATTGTTAAATTTGGCTTTCTAGTAAAAATTTCCAATTTGAAATACATATTCAGTATTTTCAATAATGGAATTATTCTGATAAAAATGCTATATTTTTAAAATACAAATATTAAATATTTTGTAAGATTTTATGGTTGCAATATTCAAAATTCTTAAATAATGATTAAGAACTGTAATAAGAATATTTCCTTGAAAATGCAACTAGTCTACAATCTTCCGTATTTCACTGTTCATAATGAAATCGAAAATTTATTTATTTATTATTTGAGTTTAGTATCGTAAAAAGTAGAATATTACACATCGAAGCGTATGCAATTCTTCAGAATATTTTTGACAAAATTACAAAATATGTAATTGTTTTTCTCCTTCCATTAACATCCTAGTCAATTATGTTTTTATTCATATACAAAAAATAATTACAATTGAATCAAATCACATAAAGTACAAGTTATAAACATTTTTTTCATACATTTTTAAGTAATTTTAAATATACATAATTCATGTATCTATCATTCTACATCACCACTTTTTAAATTGAAAAACTTAATTTTAAACATAAAATTAATAACATTCATTAATAAATAATTTAATTAATTACGTACTTTATTAAAAGACATAGTCTTTACAATTTTGTTCTCGTTAATTACTTCCCATCGAAACATTTAATTAGTTTTAGTAAATAATCAGCATAGCATTTGTTTTTGTAAATAATTATTTTCCTTAATAACTATATTTTTTTTATATTAAATTATATTCAATATGGAATCAAAATCATATGAATCGCAGATTAAAGCGTAAATCAATAATATTTAATATTTTTTCATTTTAAATACATAAATTCTTGTACATGTAATTTATATTTATAATTAGGTCTATATTATAATGTATTATATTTATTTTGTATCAGTTTTTTTTAATCGAGCTGCCTCTCTTTCTTTTATATCGACAGCGGCCAAGTCTAAACTGGCAACATATGCGTGAACGCATGAAATGAAAGTTTTTAAAACAGCAAATGGACAACAGAATATTGCAGCAATTTTAAATAACGAAAAACCCAATACTAAAATTAAAAATTTATGGAATTGAAATGATTATTGCTAAAAACTTTGAAGTTTAAATGTTTTAAACTGATTCCTTAACTTACTAGTTGGTCCGGTCGTAAAATACAATAAATATAAACAGCAATAAAATATTTCGTTAGTGGCGCACATAAATGTTAAAACATCTTTTTGGTAGTATATTCTCATAACTACATTCTCATTCACGTCAAATGATTTATGAGATGATTTTCCAACAAATACGCTCCTAAAATAACAAAATTAAATTAATGGGTGTTATTTAGTTTTCGTTTGGTTTTTATAATATACGTTTGCATGTATAACCAATGACATGCAACATCAATGGCCATCGACAATTGAAACAAAAACATATATTTTGGGTAAAAATAGCTCAATGTTACTAATAAACCCATAGTTGAACAACGATCGGTCAATTGATCGAGCATTGCTCCAAATTTTGTACCTGAGTTAGAATAAATTTGATTTAAAATGGAAATCATGGTAAATAGTTTAAAAAAGTATACTTTGATTAAAGTGTCTTGCAGCATGTCCATCGATTGCATCTAATCCAACACTAATTATATAACACCAACCGGAGATTATATAACTTGTTGGCATATACCAAAAAGATATTATCGCAAGAAAAATTCTGGCAAAGCCTACAAAAAGAAATTACATATGTTTTTCTTAAGTTATGCACAAACACGTATTATAAAAATTATTCAATTTTTTAATTAAATTAACGTCAATTCAATTACAATGAAAGGTTTTTTTTTAAATTTCGTTGTAAATGTATTTATTGATTTTAAACTTACCAATTATGTTGGGATAGAATAAGAAAATATTTTCTTTTTCAGTCGTCATTTTAATTTTTTTTTTAAATAAACAAATTTTACGCCTTTAATTATTTTTAATTCTGAATTTATGAATAATAATAACGATTCTACACGTCATGCGCTAAAATGTAATATAATATGTATCTAATAGGATTTTAATTACAAAAACTATTTTCTTCCCTGATAAAAAGCACTTACTACTACATCTGTCAGTGTCATGAGTGATTTCGGTTTGCGAACACGACCTTTAAAAACAGATTTTATTGTTTTGATTCACACTGTCAAATTTACCCATCAACCAAAAAAAGCAAAATTTTAAGAGTTTGTAACTGCGTTGATTGTAAGATTTCACATTCAATGTGGTACATGAAACGAAATAATTTTTCAGTTACTAAATAAGCACATAAAAGTAGATATACCAAAAATTTGACTTTAAGTTGACAACAACAAACAAAAGAATATTAAGCACATAAATGTTTAAATTATAGTAGTGTAAAATTAATATTGCAAATTATGGGGAAAATTTGTAAAGAAAATGAATTCTTAACTTGTACCTGAAATGTAAACCGAGAAAACTTAGATAATGAAAATTTATACGTTTACACTTATTAGTAAGTTAAGTTTTTTTTTTTAATTTAATATTCGTTACGTACTAAAACCATTATTTAATCCCGTGATATTTAAAAATAATCATAAACTTGTGATCTAATCTAACAAAGGCTTAGTAAAGAATGAAAATAAGCAATAATTTTTGTATATTTTTTAGTTAAATTAGGAGGCTGTCATCATTGCTTTTATCCCTCACATTTTACTAACCCTTTCATTAATTTTTAATGTCATCATTACCAAATCAACTGTCAAAAATTGATGCCTTCCCATTACAATTTTTGTGGAAACAAAAATCGGTTTAATAATTAAAAGTTATTATTAGCTATTTAACATTTATTATTCACTTATTATTGCTTTGTTGAAAGATAGTTTTTTGCTTTCCATTCATTTTGTTTATGACAAAGATGACAGCTACCTAAGTTTCAACAAATTTAATGATAAATCTTGAGTACATGAACGTTTACTATTTAAAAGATAATTTTTATCACTTTTTCATACAAACAATAGATATTTTTTCCCAATCAACAAATCATTTAAATTCTATCTTACAATTATAACAATCATTTATAACTTGACATTTTATAATAATTTCCGGTTTATGAATGAGTGCTACCAGTGTTATGGATAATTAATAAGCAAAAGAAGAAGAGAATGCGACAACGGCAACCCAAGAAGAATTTTCGTCGTAAAGTGATTTTTGTGTGAAATGGAAAAAAAGCGATATAAGAATTTAATTTTTTTTTTTTGGTGAAAAAATAATATAAAATTCTAAAAAAGTTTTTAAAAACGAAATTTATAAAAGTTCTATTCAATTATAACACTTTTTTCTTTTTGCATAAATTCAAAAACTATACAATATATAATAAATAGATGTATGTATGTACATATGATATTCAGTCAGAGAAAATTGAAAAGTTTTTTTTTTAATGAAAGAAGAAAAAAAAATAAAAAAAGTCTAATTTCGCTCTATCATTCTTTTTTGGTTTAAAAAAAATTTTAATTGTTCATACTTTTGCAAATTATAAAAAATAAAATTAATTTTCTTTTTTTCTTTAAATCAAAAAAAATCTCGTGCCGTATGTCAGAAAATTGAAAAAAAAAAAAATTGTATTGAAAAAGTAAAAAAAAAAATAGTGGTAGTGAGTGAAGAAAAAAAAATAATACGTATAATAAAAAGAAGGAATGATTAAATAGAGCAAATGTGATACTAGTGGAGTGGGGGTGGTGAATAAAAAGAAAATTTTTTATATAAAAAATTTTCTTTTAATTTTTTTTTTCTTTACTATATATCTATTCCATTTATAATTTTTCAACTCGTGAATATGGCGAAAAAATTTTCATTTAATTTTCAAAGTGTCATCTAACAAACAAAATACGGTGTGAAAAATGACAAAACAATTTTGATTATTTTGCAATTTTGTCCATAATGTTTTGACATTTTTTTTTCAATAATAAAAAAAAAAAAGTAATAAAATAAAATATCCTATGTGGTGGACAAAATAATCAAAAAATTAAAATATTTAAAAACGAAAAATAATAAAGAAAAAAATACTCTTTGCTGGAAGAAAAAAAAAAAACAAAAAATCAAAAAGAAAAAAAATATTTTTAGAAGTGAACAGAACGGAAAGAAAAAAAAATTATGGAGATGTTTTTGTGTGTGTGTAAAAAATCCTTTTAAGGGGAAATTAATTTATTAATATAATTATATCTGAAGTTTTTTAAAATATACTCTTCAATAAAAAAAAAGTATCAAAATAAAAAATGTTCAAACATAACAAGTTCAGTTCCTAACATATTTGTTTTTTAGTTTTAAAAAAAATTTTTTTTTTGTTATATTAATATTAAAATAAATACAAATAAATCATTTTTAAATTTTTTCGGAAAAAATTAAAAAAAAAAAACGGAGAAAATTAATTTTTTACAATAAGAAATTTTAAATAGATAGAAGAGAGGTGAGAGAAGGCAAGTGAATATCATTAAAAGCAAAAAATAAAATAAAAAAGCGAATTGATTAGGTGCGCATTTTATATGGTATAACAATTTGTATAACAATGTTAGTGAAAATTTTGACATAAGAACTTTTTTTTTTATTTGCTTTTCAACTTTTTTGCTTTTCAATGTATGTGTTTGTTACAAAAATCATCAAGTAAAAAGAAGAATAAAAAATTTTTGTTCTGGTTATTTTTTTTTTGCAAAATTTTTTGCTGCAAAATTTCTAATTGAAAAATTATTTAAAAATTTTCAAGTTGGGAAAAGAAAAAATAAATAATTTTATAATTATATAAAATATTTGTATTTTACAAGAATAAAAATATTAAATTTTTGATTTCGTTAAAAAAATTCAATAAAATGGAATCAATTTGGTTTCATTTTACTATAACATTAAAAAAAAATATTGATTAATTTTTTTCCGACTTTCAAATTAAATAAGAAAATTAATAGTTATTACGAGTACCTATGTATATATAATTATTTTTTTCTATTTTAGGTTTAATTTATTGGTAGGTTACCCTACCTTGTACCGATATACAATTTTCTTATAAAAGTAGTTTAAATAAAGAAAATATTTTTGAAATTTAAAAGATGAAAATGGACATTGAAATATAAAATTTAATAATAACATCAGTTCAAATATAAAAAAATACACAATTTTCCAAAATTCAATGAATTTAATTATTAAAAAATCGAATTAATAATTTTAATAAAAATTCAAAATTTAAAAAAGAAGAACTGTAAAGAAGAAAACCTAACCTAACTTTTTGTCTCATACATATTTTTTTTTTAGTTTTTTGTTTTGTATTATTTATTTTGATTTTATCATTTGTTTTTTAATTAATACTACATAATATTATCTTTATTAATAAAATATATAAATCAATGTTACCTTAGCAAAGAAGAAAATAAAATTTTGTGCTTTAAGTAATAGAATAGTTTATAATATTCATACATATATATATATATATAATATTTGCAATACGCATACATGCATACAAATTATAACATATATGTATGCTTATATACCTGTTATAATCTAAATTATCATTCATATAAATATATAATATCTATATGCCTATAAATACTTGTATATCACAATATATGTACATATATATAACATATGTATATATAAAATTAAACACAAATGTGAATAAAAGGCAATAGTATTAAAAAAAAAAGACAAAAAAAAAAGAAATAAAAAAAAGATTATAACGCAAAAAAAGAAAGAATTAAAAACAAAAAAATTAGCTACTTTATAAAACAAAAATAAAATAAAATAAAAATTTTCACCTCCCAAGGAATTAGAAACGAAAAAGATGAGCTCAACTGATGAAAATAATACAAATGCTAAAATTACTAAAGGTGGTTGTATTAATATCAGCTATAATAGTAATAATAGCAATAACAGTACAACAATATTAACATCATCATCATCATCATCATCATCATCGTCATCAACAACTACAACAATAACAACAACAATATCATCATCATTATCATCATCAGTCGCCGCGACATCAAATATTATTAATAGTACTACACCATTATTATCCGCCCCTTCTGGTAACATAAAAGATTATATGTCAAATGCACCAGCAGCTGAATTATTAAATACGACGACAACAACGTCGACAGCAACAACAACAACAACGACCATAAATTCAATAAATAATAATAGTAATAATAATAATAATAATAGTAATATAGATAATAATGAGGATACAAAAGGTGAATCTTCGGTAAGTAAAATTAACTTTTTATATTATGATATACATACAATATAAATAATTTTATTTTAATTTAAATAATTGCAAATTTTTAATTCAATTCAAGAATAATTAGATCATATTTGAACAAAATTATTTAAAACTTAAATTAATTTCTGAGAAATAATTAATTGTATTTATTCAACATACTTATAAAATACTTTATATGTATCAATAATAAAACCTTCACGTAATTGATAATTTTTGTAATTAATTAATAGGATTCAATTTGAATAGGCGCCTACTTAAACATTAAAGTTATTTTACCCTAACTTATATTTTGATAAAGTTTATTTTAGATTTAAAAAATTAATTGAATTTGGGAAAATGAGAAAAATCTTTGTTTCTTCCTCAAAAAACATACTACATACTTACTTAGATTTATTTCATTGAACAGAAAAAAAATTCTTTTACCATCCAGTTTGCTGAATTATCTTTTCGTTTAATAATCTTTAATTTTTTTTTCTTAATATGTACACAAAAATTGTTTGTGCTTACACAAGACGATCCTGGCGTAATCACCCTCGGAGAGTGATTTCTTGAAGTTTATATAAAAATAAATCGAAAGGTGGGGGGGGCATAGTCACCTGGTGGTATTGTGTTTAAGATTAAAAAAGTCGGGTTGAAATAATCCTGTTGTATGAAGCTGCTGCTACTCGAGGCGCTCCTGGTAAGGTGATAATTTATGTAAATAACCTTTTTCGACCCCTGTAAAAAAAACGAATATAAGTACTAAAGAAAAATAAACAATTTTTTTCGCAATTGTTTTTTGGAAAATGTTTAATATGCAAATATAGTTTTGATTACAAGTCATTTGAAGCTTTTCGCTGCAGTAATTATAAATAATTTATACAATACTTTCGTTTTTATCTTAAAAAAATGGGGGTTTCCGATAATTCATCCGTACACTTCAAGTTTATTATTGAAAGCTTGAAAATCTTTTTTTTTTTTCTTTTTACACAATTACAAATCTACAACTAAATGTGAATTTAATAAGATTATGGAGATCTGATATTACTCAGCTGATGAGTTTTAGTATGCGACACATACATAATGAGCACACTTGGTTTCTCATGTATATATAGATCTGTTAAAACACAACTTAAAATTTTTTAATATTATTTATTTCGTTCATAACACTTCGAATTTAGTAAAATGAGTGACGAAGTACGAATTATTAATTTATAAGAGAAAAATTTACTTTGTTCACTTATTATTTTTAATTATCATTAAATTTTTTCCCAGATCAAAGTCACAATATTAAATTGATTTACGAGAGTTACGTAAGTGAGCGGCTATATAATTTTCATACCATGATAACGTTCTGACTTCATTTAATAAACACCAATTATAAAATAACTATTAAAAAAAAAGTTATTCATACTCGTGTTTAAACTTATTTTAATCTAGAATTGTAAATAAGTAATATCGTAAATTTTCACACATTTCACATAAAATTTGTGAAAAATAAAAATCTTATCATAATACGATTAAAGATAAGAAATAAGTATAAAAATTTTAAAACGAAACAAAATTGTAAGTATGTTATGTATATAAGTATGCGAAATATTTCTTGTTCTGTATTTATTTTTTAATCACTTAGTATACGTAACAAGTAAATTAAATACAAATTCAGGTATAACTATTTAGTTATAGGTTTAGCTGTTAAAATGATATAATCAGTGTTATTTATAATTTATTTGACATAATTAAGGTTGAGTTCTTGTTTACAGTTTTAAGTTAGAACCATAGTCCCTGTAAGTTTATGTTATTATGCGGTGAAAAATTGTCCCTTTTGGTTTGTAGTTCTGTAGTACTGAAATTAGAAATAAAATAAATTGCAAGAAAAACAGTAATTTTAATAAGAAAAACAAACTGCGAATCAGTTTACTCGTACTATAAGAACAGTAAATAAATCATGAAAATAGAGATTTTCATAAACGCAACACTCAAAACTTCAACGTAACGTGATGGATAAAATCGAAACAGTTCATATGATTTAATCATACCCTACTCATACATTGTCATATTTTTGTGAAATTTGGATAGAATTTCTTATAAATTATGAAAATTTTACTTTATATACTTGTATTATACATATATATATATATATATATATATATATATATATATATATATATATATATACATGTATGTATGTTGCTGTGTACTGCATTTATACGAAGGTCTAACGCTTTACTTTCGTTTGTGTAATGTTTCAAAAAGTTGATACTAAAGTATTAATGTTAGAAGAGAAGTAAAAACTTTATAAATTGATCCCGTTAGAATACTTTTATGTGTAGAAATACTAAACTATTTCTTAAGTAAGTAAGAATTTCTTTTATGCTATTTGCACGTGATTTAATTTCTATGAAATAACAAACTAACAGAATAATTTGTCAAAAATCTCGCAAAATCATTCAACCCATCAAATTAAAATTGAATCTATGGTATTAAGCCGATTCCGAGTAATTTTTGCAAAATTTTAATGATATACCTTTAATTTTTTATTGTAAATTAATTTTTGATCTTGGAGGGAAAAACTCAAAAAAAAAAAACGTATCCAAAATATGCATATTTAAATTTTATATCAAAACGCCAATTAAAAAAGCTGTTAATTAAAAAAAATATAAAGCTAAAAAATAAATGTTATGCATAAGTTGCACATTTTTACAAAATTATAATGATTGTTACCCAATTAAAGAATGTGTACACCTTATTTCATCATAAACTATGCTTTAAGATTTATTTAAATTTAATTTGTCAATTTTGTTGTTTTTATTTTTTTGTCGACCGCGTGGCACACAATAAGGGCGGTATTATACTCATACAAAATTTAAAATTATTGGGAGTTTTTAATGAAAAAAAAATTCTGTTGTGAATGCGATGTTTTAATTAACTCTTTGGGCAAATAAAGATAATAGGAAACTTGCTTAAATTCTGAAGATTTGCTTTTTTAAAGGACCAATTGTGTTTTTTTTTTTTTTTATATTTTATAATCATTTATAAATATGAATTTTATATATCAGTGAAAATAACAGAATAAAAACCTGGAGAAGTATCAGTGAAATGTAACCGGAAAGCGGTCTGAAAGTTTTTTCAAAGAAGTCAAAGGCCAAAAAGTTAAGCTTTTTTACGGGTCAATTTAACGTTTTTAATTATATCTAAGTTGTTAATTAATGAATCTTGAATTTTAATAACAATTTAAGTAAGTATTTAAATTCTATCTGCAAATAGATAATCTACTATAAAATCAGGCAATGATGTCGGAAGCAGAATTATTTTTAGATTTATTTATTCTAATTTTTATTAACTAACTAAACTTTTCAAGTTAGAAGTTGTAACATAAATTTATGCAGACTAGTACTTACTTATACCAGTAAAATAGATTTATTTTAATAATATCTGAATAATTATCCGAAATTCGATGATCCGAGAAATATTATCCGATTTCGATCATGTGATGTTCATATTAAATGCTGTTATTAATCTACTACATATACTCACTTAAGTAATAAACATTTTTATTATTAAATTTACTTTAAACATGCACACTAATTTAATTTTAAAACACGGTCAAACAAATTTTTCTATATGCTAAATTATTAAGAATGCAATTTTGTGGGGCAATTATTTTACAAAATCTAATCAATTGATTCTAGTTATTTTTCTTTCCAATTTTATTCAGTAGTAAGTAAGCATTAAATTTTGATTGCAAAACTAATTTATACAAATTTATGAAATGTTATGTATGTAATATGTAGCCTAAAGCTAAAAGAAAAAATTAATTGCCTCGACAATCTAAAGTAAAATACGAACAAACAAAGCTTTTTTGTATTTCAAAATAATTAAAATTCTTTCTTAAATTCCATATTTGTGCTCATTTAACACATAAATAATTCAAATTAACTTTTCAAAGAAAATTATTTATAAAAAAATGTACCTTAAGCCTGAATATTTTCTAATTATATCATAAAACTTAAATAAATGAGTTACTTATCCTTTAAATTATTATTTATAAAAGGAGTTGATATTGATTAATTAAAAATGATTTGGCCTTATAAATAATAAAATATCAAAGGATTATTTTATTACAAAATTATTAATTTTAATTATTCAAAATATTTTACACATTTAAAATTTCCCATACAATTAAAACAGTTATTTTAAACGTAACACAAGTGTTAGATTATTTATTTTTTAAAAGAAAAAAAAATTAATTAAAAGGTTTACGTAATAAAACGTTTATGACAATAAAACAATACTTATAAAAGAGCATTTATTTGAACATCATGAAAAATAATTAACAGGAGATTAACAAAAGTACCTTTTGAAAAAGAGGAATTATATACTTATACATACACTTACATAAATGTATGTAAAAGGAATCAAAAAAATATAAATTTGGGGAAATTTATTAGAATTTGCTTTATCATTTCAAATTTAAATTTTATTTTATATGTGAACATTCTTTGAAAATAATTGAAAATTTTATTTTCTCTTTTTAGTACTTTATCAAATAAAATTTGAGAAAATGTGCTAATTAGTTTCACTTCCTTTTTCTACTGTGGCGCATCATACTTGAACATTGAAATAGCAAAATGTTAATTATAGAGCCTAGAGCTAGACTGTAAATTGTAGAAGGTTGAAATTTTAGCAGCTTTTAACATCTTAAATAAATTATTTTTTCGGAAAGAAATTCCACCTTTTCCAGGAACTTTATATTTCCGAAAACGCAAGCTATCAAAATTTCTACAAAGAACTAACGGAAAATGTCATGTTATCAAAAAATCTAATTATTTTTCTTAACTCACTTGCTTAGTCGTTGAATTCGACTACTTTTTTTTTTGTTCATCCTAAACGTATGCAATAATTTCGTATATGAAGGAAAGTAATTTAAATAATATAGTAAAATAGTAAGCTGTATTTTCACTTGTTCAAGGTAAAAGCGCCGTTTTACAAACGTTTTTCGC